TTTTCTTCCGCATCCTCTTATTTTTCATGTTTTTATTTTTCTATTTCTCTTTCCATCAAAGAGTTTAATATATCGCAATTTTTTCGCCTACCATTTCTTTTCAGCCTTTCGCCCATTGTCTCTTTATATCTAGCCAGCTTTATCTTTCTTCTGGCTCCTTCCCTCTTTCTATATATATTTATTTCCTTTCACTTAGTTTTCTTTTAGTTTTTCTCTAGTTTTCTTGCCTCTTACACCTTCCACTTCAAACCCTCCCCCCCTCCCCGCCTCTCGCTCACTTTTTACCCAATTCTTCCCTGCTTAATATGTATGTGTCTCCGTCAGAAAGTACAACTGATTCCCGCTCAGAAGTGTTAGAGCAGATATTATATTATGATCCTCGGTTTTTTTGTTTTTTTTTTTAAAAAAGGGTTACGGACGTACAAAGAAGTAGAATAATATTATGGATTTTAAGTTATAAGCAGAAATAACTGTTGATTTTTCCGCAGTCAGTTAAAGATAAAAATAATAAGTTCGTCATATTGCAAATTGAGAATTTAAATAAAAAAAAACCAACTAAATTATGATTGTTTAAAAAGATAAATACCACCTAAGAGACATTTGGTTAATAAAAAACGAGGACCGTTCCTTCCCACCCGAGACTCCCGAGTGGATACTTCCCTGATCACTACAACCTTAACTACTTCAAGCCTAGTTCAGTCAAACATTATTTTTCCTACATATCCTCATAATATATACTTCTTACATTCTCTTACATTCATACAACAACCTCATTCAGTATTGAGTGTCTTGGGCCTTGTATGAGGTGAAGTCAAGCCATCAGCTCACTATTACTATTCAGTGAGGTGCCACGCCGTCATGTCATCAGACTTCTATTCTTCAAAGCACACGACGCATGCATTTCTCGTCGATTTATATTTTTTTAACGAATAAAATATCATATTTTTTATAAAATATTGCATTTCGTGTTCTGAAGTTAAAATTTCATTTTAAGATACTTTTTTTGCTTGCAAGGTTTAGAAGGTATTTTTATAGTTAAAGAGGAATTTCTTCTTCTTCTTCTTCTTCTTCTTCTATATGCCGTGTTCCTTAAGGACGTTGGAGATCATGACTCTCCACAATTTCCTGTCCTTTGTAAGTCTTAATAAATCTTGTCTTTTTGGGTTTTTTCCTAAACCTTTTTCCGTCATCGATTTATTCAAGCTCGTTAGATATTAGTTATTGTTTTTCTCTGTCCCCCTTGCCTTCAATCTGTATTGTGAGTGTCAAATTTCCCAAGCCGTCTCATTATGTGATCTAGAAATTTCAACTGTCTTCCTGATGTTAAGTATAAATATCCTTTTTTATCTGTCTATATTTCCGAGGTGAGGTGTTATGTACACCAATATACACTGTGCCATGTGTCCTTGAAGACAGGAGATAACTGGTAACTGACATCCATTAGACATGGCACGTGGAACTAGAACAGTCTACCCTAGGTAGCCAAATAAATGGTTCAGTTCGACATTCCAACCACCTGAAGAAGGCCGGAGCGTTTCAACGGCCGAAACGTTGTGATAAATATGGCATCAAAGATGAGGACAATAGTCCGAATAATCAAGATATCCTTTTTTGTTTCCATTTTCTCTAAAACTTCGTCGTTGCTCACATGTTTGGACCATGGTATTCTCAGCATCCTTCAATAGGGCCACATTTCTGTTGCTTCAAGCCTCTTCATCTATGATGAGATTTTCCAGCATTCACTGAGGACTGATATTACAGTTCAGTAATTTTTCACTGATATTACAGTTCATTAAAGGAGGCACGGTGGAGTAATGGAGAACCGAGTTCGAATTCCAGTCAAATCCATTACATTCACTTACGTGCTAATACCCTTGAGAAAGGCATGAATCCTCTTCTTCTCTCCCCCAGCTATGTGTAAATAGCAGGACAGACTGGGTTCTATAGCCGTGGATGGCATCTGGTCTACCACAGAAAGAAATGACTTCCTACTGCAGAAAAAATCTGCCTCGTCATTCATGTATCGAAAGATACATGATCACCTAAGTGTGTATCACGCATGGCACATAACTGACTGTATGTTTCCTTTGTTTCTAATGAAGAGATTATTTGAGCTGATGTCAAACTAGAACAGAAGCTGAGCCAGCTGAGCCAGCTGAGTCAGCTGAGCCAGCTGAGCCAGCTGAGCCAGCTGACATGAGCCTACGATTTTGCGGGAGCCTATTTCTCCTGGTAGAAGAAAATGGAACCGTTTGGATTCCTTAGCACTTTTTTCTTTTAAATTGTTCTAATTTATTTTTACTATTATTAAAGTTTCGTTATTTCTAATTATATATATATATATACTACATGTATATAGTAATATATAAATCATATGTATACTGATTATCATATTACCTAAAGATCAGCTTGAAATGGGGTCTGTATTTTATCTTGTCCATTCTCAAGATTTCCACATGCCTGGCTCGTCTCTTTTTTTGCGTTAAGGATTAAATGACTGCACGTAATATATAACATATATTACGTGCAGTCATTTACTCCTTAACGCAAGATTAACAATTAAGATTAAGAGCTTTAGTCATAACAACTTTTAATTTCCACAAAAGTCTAACGACAATGTAAATAACAAAAAAGAGATTTTAAAATATTACCTCTATTTTATATGTCATCACACTTCAAGACCTTGGCGATCATGGCTCTCCACATATTCCTTTCCTGTATTATCTGTGAATTGCCATGAATTCCCGAGCGGAAAATCGAAAGTTGACGATCTCAAACGCTAGCCTTAACAACGAAATTCTCGAAACAAGTAAGCACAAACTTTTAAAGAAACATATGAGACGGTAACACTGAGAACATTTTTAACATACACCATCCAATATATGTAATTCACATCACGAAAAAGAAAAATACATATTTTTGTTATTAATGCCGACACGTGTCTCAAGTTTTATTGTTGTACGTTTTTATTCATATCATTTTTCATTATAAAACAGTACAAAGTAGTCCTCTATCAACTACTAATACAAATATATATATAACAACGGGGTAACTTACATTACACAAACCCAACATCCTACTCCGTTACACGTCCAGTTAATCCGTGTCGGCATCTATACATCCCATAATAGCTGTTATTTGCGCAAAAGTGAACGCAACAGACAAGACCGGAATTTGAACTCAGTTCACCGATTTCACGATCTGAGTCGATATCTGCACATGCTCATCCCATAACAGTTGTTATAATCGGTGTATATTTCCACAACCTACACATTAAATATTAAAGAGACAAATCTTACTCACAATCCGCTAGTTGTCCATCCCTCATATAACCCATTCCTTGGAAAGCGAGTTATTTATGTACCATTATATACTCGAATATAGTGCGAGTTTTTATGATCAGTTTTTTTTTACGCAAAAAAAAGTGGATCGCACTATACACAGGTAATTTTTTTTTTGAAGTGGTTAAAAATCATGAATTTTCAGTGACCGGTTGCAGGTAAAAAAATATTTCTAGAGGAGTTAAAATTCATGCCAACAAATTCATTTATTTATCGAAATACGTCATATACTCGAGTATAATACGAGTTTTGGTGATCAGTTTTTTGCACCATGTTTTGCGTTGTGGTTTAATGGATATCGGTTCGGAATGAGAGATCGGGGATACGAGTTCGAATTGCAGTCGGGTTCTTTATATTCACTTTCGCGCAAATACTCCTAGCTATGGGTTGAATAGCAGATTTATTAACCAGTATACCGCAGAAAGTAACAGCAACCGCCTGCGTGGAAAAATTTGCCTAGTCAGTATCGAAAGAATGCATGATCGACCAAGCGTGTATCACGTTTGACTAACTGACTTTTTACACAAAAAGTAGGAGGTCGCACTATACACAGGGTTATTTTTTTTTTTTTTTTTTTTTTTTTGAAGAGGTTAAAAATCATGAATTTTCATTGACCGGTTGCACTATATACAGGTAATTGTTTTCTGAAGGAGTTAAAATTCATGAAAAAAATTCAGAGGTCGCACTATACATGAAGTCGACTTATACACGATGATTATTTGCAATCGTGAAGTACTCAATGAAAAACGAACTCTCGTGCAATGGGTTGCGTGACTTGCAAGCTAACCAATACTTTACAACAGCTATACGAATTAAATTCATATTTTGAAGATTTATTTAGTTGATAGTCACGTGTTATCTCTTTAGTCAGTTTTATCTGCGTAAAAGTTACTAACAGTCGACAGATCAGGTAAAATATTAAGCATTTAAGAACAAAAATAAAATTTACTTTTTTTTTTACATTTTAAATTGGTATGATCTTTCCTGTGAAATCACGCGTTAAAGCTCACCTCACGTAAGATGCGAATAAATTGGATCTTATTGTATTGGATTCAAAATCGGGGGAAAAAATTAAAGCAATAGACTTTGTTGATTTTTTCCCCGTCAGTTAATAAGCTTCGCCTTGCGGCTGCAACATGTCATATATAACATATTATCTTTCTTTACCGAATGATTTATCATGAATGATCATTTATCTGCCACAAGGGTTTTTATGTACCCAGTAACGTTCATATCTCGTCTACACTTTTCTATTATGTTTTTTCCCGCTTCTTTATAATCATGTTGTATATTAACTTGCGGCTCTAGCACATAGCTTAATTGTTTTTATCAGTTCACTTTTAAGTAATATTATTCATCATAAAGAGTTTCCATTCTTGACTGCACCCATCTCTACATTGATTGATTGATTTGTTTTGCACGGCTTATCATCTTTTTGCAAGCCATAAAATATTCCTAAACTGTAAGAAGTTTTTGGAGATAACAACGATTCATTGATGCAAGACCTACTGATTAACCCATAACTGGAGGGAGAAGATGTGGATTCATACCTTTCCCAGTGGTATTTGCACCTAAGTGAATATAACGAACCCAAATGGAACTCGGCTCTCCGATTTCTAATTCCGAGCCGTTATCTATTACACCACTGCACATCAAAACTTACAGCAACTGGCATATCCTAAGCGGTCACACATCTAACTACTGACCTGACTAGATGTTACTTAACTTCGGTGATCGTATGAGAATCGGTGCTCCGACGTGATATGGCCATAAGCCACACTGCCTCTACAATACAACAAATAGTTGCATTTTGGTTGAGTAGCAGATACAGAAATAAAACTTCAGGAAATCTTATCCAAAGTACTAAAGGAATAGGAAAAGAAAGGACTAAGCATCGAGTGTAAGAAAACAGAATATATCGTCCTTAGCAAGACGGAGAGTCCAAGATGGCAGCTACGAAATGGAAACGTCAAAACCAGGCAATTACAGAAATGTAAATTTCTGGGAAGTTTTTTTAAAAGACGACCGAAAATATGACACAGTCATCTGAAGGCACATTGCAATAATAAAATGTTTTCCAAAGAACTAAAAATATTAGGAAACTAGAAAATTTGGTTAAAAAAATAAAAAAATAAAAGAATTATGCAATATCAATCATCCTCTACGGAAGTAAATGCTGGACGATATCATAACAGATGAAGACTCCTCTACGGAAGTAAATGCTGGATGATATCATAACAGATGAAGGATCCTCTACGGAAGTAAATGCTGGACGATATCATAACAGATGAAGGATCCTCTACAGAAGTAAATGCTGGATGATATCATAACAGATGAAGGACCCTCTACGGAAGTAAATGCAGGACGATATCATAACAGATGAAGGATCCTCTACGGAAGTAAATGCTGGATGATATCATAACAGATGAAGGATCCTCTACGGAAGTAAATGCTGGACGATATCATAACAGATGAAGGATCCTCTACGGAAGTAAATGCTGGATGATATCATAACAGATGAATGATCCTCTACGGAAGTAAGTGCTGGACGATATCATAACAGGTGAAGACACCTCTGCGGAAGCAAATGCTGGACGATTTGATAACAGATGAAGACATCTCTACGAAAGTAAACGCTGGGCGATTTCATAACAGGTGAAGACTCCACTACGGAAGTAAATACTGGACGATTTCATGAGAAATGAAGACTCCTCTACGGAATTTAATGCTGGACGATTTAATAACTGATGAAGGATCCTCTACGGAAGTAAACGCTGGGCGATTTCAAAGCTGATGAAAATAAGACTCGAATTAATAGAGATGTGGTTCTACAGAAGTATTCTGAGAATATCATGGACGGAACATGCCAGCAACAAGGAAGTTTTAAGGAAAATGAAAACAAAATGGATATATACTTAAATTCAGAAAGCGACAGTTGAAATTTATGGAACAAATGAGGAAGAAGAGTTTGGAGAATTTGACACTCACAAGACATTGAAGACCAATGGGCAACAGCAAGTAACCTATCTAACGAGCGTGTGTAAATGGACAACAGAATATAATTTTGGAGAGTGATATTAAAGAGAAAAACTTTTCTTGGGCTAAAAGGAATATGAAGTTGTAGAGAGCCATGATCTCCCATGTCTTGAAGCGACACGGCACATAGAAGAATGATAATATATAAGTAGTTATAATGGGTTTTAGTCATGGCAATGACTGTCTCTTTTTCTAGATCATATCTACATTTATACGTGCATAAATACATCTTTCATCGTTTTGTTATAAAATAGGAGAGTAAGCAATAAAAACTAACAATTAGCATATAGTGTTTCTATTTTTTGAATATATGATTTTCCAGCTTTTTATAAAAGTAGCCCACAGCTTTCAGTCAAATGTGCTATCCTTCAGTTATATTTAGACATCCATTAATTGTGGCAACTTGAATTTTTTTCAGAATAAAGAATCAACTTATATCTACATATACATTAAACGCATATATATATATATATATATATATATATATATATATATATATATATATATATATATATATATATATATATTAGTACGCTTATGCACTCAAGGTATCAATAAGGAAAGCTCATCAGAACAATTGCCATGAAAATATTTATAGAAAAGATACAAGGAATCAACGTCAAGGCGATGGGAAAGTGACTGAAGTCGAGATGCCAGATCAGGACCTATAATATTTACAGACCCTTCTTTAGATTTTATCAAAAAACTCGTGATATATAACAGGAACATTAGACCAAATGTGGCAGCAATATTTAATGCACGGATAAATGACAGATTTATAAACGGTCAAAATGGATTCTGGCGAGAAAATTTGTCTGGTATGAAACAATGGACCAATTTTCCTAGTAGCAGACATATCAATTGATTCAATATAATCATTTCATTTCATCTCCGTGGAAAATGTGAGACCGAGAAGGCGCAATGAGTTGCTTTCTTTAAAATTAACATTAGTCATGCTAATGGAATGTAAAAATGGTTCTCTAAGATGACTAAAAGACAGTAATTTCGTTTTGGAGGCGCTGACATTTAGAAGCAATTTCTTGCTCCAGTTAACAACTAATTGAAAGTTATCTTCGTGATAAATTGCCAGTTTTACTTTATCGGGCCTATCAGACTTACTAAAGGCAGGATTTAATAATTGTCTCATCAGAATAATTTGGGAAGTGACGATATCAGGAAGAGTGTTAATGAAGATAAGAAAGCAGGCCCAAGGATAGAATGCTGGGAAACACCTTCATTAATGATAAAGGATCTAGGAGAGTGGTCGTTCAACACAACTGTCATTACACGATTTGTAAAGAAATATTGGATCAAATCAAAAATTCGACCATAGACACCATAGACCTTAAGCTTTTGAAGAAGACCAGCATTCCAAACCCTGTCAAACTCCTTCGAAATTTCTAAAGCCACAATTTGAACATCTCCATTATTATTTAAAGCTTCACAGACCCTTTCAGTAATACCCGTTACACATTGGTGGTTGACCTAGAGAAGCGAAAGCAATATTGTTTATCTGACAGGATGCCACGCGAAGTGCGTTGTCTGACCAATTCAGATTTGATTAGAGTTTCTGGTACTTTGCCAAAAAGAGATAGAACACGATAATTCGAGAGACCAAAAGGTTCACCAGAGTTCTTAAAAGCAGGAACTACAAAATAGGATTTCCAACAAGTTGGAAAGAAAGAAGCAGTGTGACATTTATTGTAACTTTTAGAAAGAATAGGAGTCAGTTCAGGTGCGCATTTCTTACAATAATTGCAGGGATGTCATGAAATCCGCATGACTTATGGGGATCTAGTTTAGAGATGATAGTAGAAGCCATGGACGGAGTTATATGCATATAATCAGTAAAGATTAAATTCTAGATGCAAAATCAGGCAAAGATACTTCTGCTGAATCGAGAATGGAGTTGGAATAGATTTTACGAGCAAAGCATTCTGCTTTATCAGCAGTAGATAACAACGTTTTTCTTGAATTACTTACCTATCTTATATATACATACATAAACAATTCGCCCGAAGCAAGGCGATAATGCCACAAAATTGCAAACGGCTACTGGGAGTGAGAAAAAAATGAAACTTTAGAAGGAACCGGAATCCCAATACTAAACATAAAACAATGGAAACCATTATTAGCAAGAAGTTCTTTCTCGAGGTGAAACGCATTATTTAGATTTTGTTTTCTCGTTCGATTACCCAATATTAGTCTGATACATAGATTTGTATATAACATTTCACACACACACACACACACACACACACACACACACACACACACACACACACACACACACACATAAACACAAATATAATTATGGGCACGTGGCCGAGTGTTTAGAACGTTCGCTTTCTGAGACCCGGGTTCGAATCTCACTACGGAATTTGTTATCGGTCTGGAGGGAGCAATCCTAGTGTGCGGCATCTTTGGAAAGTGCCTGATAACCATACCACGGGTTGACCCAAGCCTTGTGAATGAATCTGTGAGCTATGAGCTGTGCTAGCACGAATTCACAGGTCATCGTGACCGAGGGTTTGAGTGTGCTGGCCTTGTTCAGATTGTTGATCACGCTAGATAGCATGCTCCATCCCAGAAACTGTAACTAAGCTCTGCTCAGCATAGTTGCAGTATAAACCACAGGGTGGGTGTTGAACCGAGCGAGCAACAGCAATAGGGATTGGCTAGCCGCAGTAATATATATATATATATATATATATGATAAACTGTAAAATTTCTTGTGACGTGTTTCATCCGGCTGGATGAAATCATAAGGGATGAAAGGCGTCACAAGAAATTTTACAGTTTATCATATTTTTCTAAATACTTTTCCTTGATATATAAAATTATATAAAATTATATATATATATATATATATATATATATATATATATATATATATATATATATATATATATATATATATATATATATATATATATATATATATATATATATATATATATATATATATATATATATATATACATATTGTTACGTTAACCCCATATTTGTACCCTCACCTCAGATTTTATAAGTATATTTTCAGTACCTTTTGTATTTGCGACGAAACATATGAATCTTAATAACTTCTTTATTTCTTGAATATGCAGATTGTGGGATATATTTTTTTTATAACCAGATGAGTCAGGGCCAGTTCTCGGAAAAGTACCTTCTCTTCTACCCCCATTTCCTACCTGGTCTCTGATGCGTAGGCCAAACAAACGCTGTTTGACAGATAGGTGCGAATGATGTTATAAGAAAAAAAATCATTACACGCTTAAACTTAATTCACATTTAAAATCGATCAGTTATTGGAACACCCTTTACTTTGTATTCTTCTTAAAATTTCTTCATTTGTCATATATTTTGTCTATGGTATTCTTAAGGTTCGTCGGTAGAACCAAATCTCTGGTGCCTCAATTCTTTTTTTCGTTTGTAAGGAAAATTTCCAGCTTTCACTACTGTATAGAAGTGTCAACATCACATATCACTCAACTACTCTTATCTTTGTTTTACGCAACTTTTTTTTTGAAAACTATGCAAAATTTATTGAAACAAAGCATGTTCAGTTGACCATTGATGACAATTCCAGAAACTATAAACAATTTTTTTGCTATCCTCTGCCAGCCATTAATTTTTAATCTCATCGTATTTCTGTGTAGAACTTTTCGTTATCTGTGATAAAACAGTTTAGATAGTTGAACTGGCGCACATTTGTTTTTGACGTACCCAATATGTAA